CCCCTGTCATCTGGTTGGGCTCTCTATACTAGTCATGTAGCCATAGGACTTGGGCAAGTTAGTTGTGTAATAGAATCACAATTCGCATGATTGTGTTCTTTCGGAATGGGGGGGGGGGGGGGTTAATCATAACAAAATAATAATAAAGATCAAGGTGGTAGCCAAATGATAGAAATATTTGAAATAACGTTACAGTACTTGAATCATGTTCAAGCACATACGTAATTGTTACGTTGCATGGGCAATCAAGCGCAAGTATCCTATGACAGACTATGTGAGGCTCCAGAAATGGAAAACATTGCTGAGTTTTAGTTGCATCCGAAGTACTACGATTATGATGTGCATGGAGGCGACTCCACTGATGGGCTAATACCTGAGTGTGAGGCACAGAATGGGTATAGTGGTTGACTATTGATAGATAGAAGTTGAAAAATAGACACAAAAACACCCAGCGAAAGCTGAAACCGGTTTCGCCCATTGAGCATCATAAGTGAATTATCAGAAAGGTATGGGGGATTCTTTGCAACTGCAAATGATACCAGTGCTGAAAAGATGCACAGTAGCTGACAAAATTCAGTCAGAGCTGATATACTCCATGATAATGTTGTTAAGACCTGCACCGTCGTAGTCGTCAGAGTAGCGTGATGACAGGTCATATAGCGGGCGCTCAAACAAGCTGACATTACACTCGTTGAACTTCAGCCACACAGCTTCCATGTCGGATACATCTGGTGATGCCAGCAGCAGCTTCACTCCGTCATCCGTAATCTGATTGTTTGCCAGTGTGATGCGCTTCAGTGTGGGGATGTCCTTCAGCACATCAACGAAGGTAGCAACAGTGCCATCTGCTATCCGATTACCAGCTAGGTTGATCCACTTCAGGCTTGTGTGATGACGCAGCGACTCCAGCACATCCGAGCCAATCTCATCTGTCATGCCGGTGTTGGCGAACGAGAGGAAGCGCAGATTGCGGCACTGAAGCAGCAGAGACTGAAACGCCTGGTAATCACGACCGCTACGGTCAACGTTCTCAAAGACGGGATTGAAGTCGATGATGAGAGCTCTTACCGTGGACTGAGGCACCGATACCGCTCTAAGTACGGCAACTATTCCACCAAGCCGGATGGCATTCAGGGACAGGTTGAAATACTGGATGTGAGAGTTTCTTGCCAGGCCTTCTGTGGCCAACAGTGTGACTCCGCTGTCGGTCATTTGGCTCTGAGTGACGTTCAGATAGACAAGGTCATTGTCGCTGGCAACGTACGCGGCCAACGCAGGCAATATCTCCTCCCTGGCGTACCCCAGCAGGAATCCTTGAACGTGCGCGAGCAGGTCGTTAACACTTTGCTCCTTCACCTCTCCGTTCTCTATGCGGAAGCTGGAGATGTGAACGACGTCATCTCTCATCGTCGTGGACTGCACCAGATCTTCCAGCATCTGCCGGCCAATATCCTTCCCACAGAGCCACAGGTGTATACTGGGAAAGTGTGGGGCAGAATCAGTGGCAGACTTTGCCTTCTCGTTACGGCGTCGCTCTTGAAAAAGCCGTTGAATACTACTGAACACGTCCACATCTATTGGATTGTTGTCCAGTACCAAGTTTTCCATGGCATGACATTCCTGTACGGCTGAGAGCAATGAGTCAACCTCATCATTACCCAACATATTGTCATTAACCCACATGTTCACCATGCGAGGAGCTTGCTGGAGGATCATAATGAGATGCTCAGTACTTCCTTTGCCTAAACAACACTGACCTATGCTCAACTCCCGCAGGTGCGGGCATGGTTTCAGCGTGCTTGCGAAAGCAGCAAGGCCAGCGTTACCCAGGTCGCAGCCATGTATGTACAGTCGCTTGATGCTGGCGTGCTGCAGGCATCGTGACAAAGAGGCGCCGTCACGTCGACCGTGAGTCAGCCCGGCGTTCCGCATATCCAGCAGCACTGGGTTGTTCCGTGTTGATTGCGATAGTTCTGAGGCAATGACCTCAAGTGATGAGCCTCCCACATCATTCCCAGTGATGTTCACTTCCACCGCACGGTCTAGGATTTGAGCCAGCTTGACAAAGTGATCGTGAGAGAGATTGCAATGGGACAGCACAAGATTCTTCACATCATGGACAAGCTGCATTGTAACACAGATTGCCATCACATCCACCGAGTCGAGGTGTTCACCGTCCAAGTCAATGCCATCCGATGTCAGGCAAGATGCCGCCGCCACGTAACAAGCTGTACGCAGGTCATCGGCAGATAAGCAGTCGTCATTGGTTGTGATTGTCTCGCCTTCTAGAAGAGTGAGTTCATTCTCCAGCAAACACTGCATCAGGAACAGATGAAGTTTCTTTCGGCGTCGGTGGGTGTTGGTGCGTGGTGTTGCTGACCAAACCATTCTCAAAACCGTGGACAAATGCTCATACCTCACCGAGCCACACAGGAACTTCCAGAAAGGCCAGGAGTCTTCATCAACACCGATACCTTCCACACACCCAGCAACGACACTGACAAACTCAAGATTGACGCTGGCTGATCGAGCTGCACACCATTCTTGTACGGTAGCATGGATCAAGGAGAAGCGGTCGATGAGTTCGGCGCATACAGGCTCGATGCTAGCGCTTGTCACAAGACCTAGCTCCACACACACCGACAGTGCATGATCAGATAGAGATGAATGTGCAAACGACAGCTCATTCGCACACAGGCCATCGAGGCAGAGGTCATATAGCTCCTGCAATGCTTGGATCAACCGGATAGCATGCGGATCACAGCCATCAACTGTGACATCGGCTACATGTTTCTCCAGTTGATACTCCAAGACGCTCCTGATGCTGACTTTCTCTCCACGGCGGAAGGTTCTACCACCATGTAACTGGCTGTAGACATCTTCACCTAGAGATACGTTGCCAAATTTCTTCTTCCTTCTCTCCTCCAGCTTGACAACTGAAGAGTAAAGAAACTGAGTGTAGAATGACGTAACACTGCGTGGAAGAGACAGTGTGTCGGAGAACTGCTGACAGAGTAGTGCTGCCAGGAGAGGAGTGCTCTGGATTGCTTTCTTCAAAGCCAGGTTGGATGTTTCTGCCAGCTGCTGAACACAGGCCTTTGCCGCGGCCTGGTCTCGGTCAAGATGCTTGGAGCAGAACTCTTTCAGTTGTGTTTCGCTGAAACCGGTGAGTCGAAAGTATAACGTACACAATGGGACAAGGTCGTAAGCTAGCTGGCATGGCCGACTTGTTACTATGACGGTAGCATCAGGGAGGCGACTCGGCATTGCGTTGCTGTCATCGTCATCGCTGTTGTTTTTAATCAGTGCCAGTGCGGCTGAAGATGCATGAAATCCAGGACCTGCTTCATCAACACCATCAAAGATAACCAGCACCTCTGCTGAATGAGTGGCGAGGTATTCCATCACCAGATGACTCTCATCCGCTGTGAAGCTTTTTAATCCCAACAGGACAATCCAGTCTTCAGTTGTCACTCGCTCCACACTGCGACATGGGATGTAGAACACATACTTGAACTGCCGTAGCTCTGTCCTCTCCTTCTCCAGAAACTCAGAGAGTATTTTACGGCAGACTGTGGTTTTGCCTTGACCTGCTCCACCAATCAGCATACATCTCTTTACCAGCACGTCTTCTGCACTATCCGTGCTAGTTGCTGCGGAGGCAGTGTCTCCACTATTTGCACTCTCTCTGCTGATAGCACCACTGTAACTGTTCATCAGCAGTTGCTTAGGGTGCTCTAGACAAAATGTCTTCCCGCGTTTCTCCACTTCTCGTCCTTGAAGCACCTTGGTGTTGCTGTCACTTCGATGGTGTCTGTGAATTGGTGAGCGTAGAGCTTCTTGTTGGCTCACAGCTTGCATGGGTATGAAGCACGTCCTGGTGTCGGTGACAAGATTGTGCAGAGACACATTGTCTGCTCTCTCGCTAACTCGTACACATGTACGGCGTAGTTTTTCATCCAAGCGGTTCAGGCACTGTTCCAGCTTCTTCTGTTTCGTACCCAGCCGTCTCTCGTACTCCACCACCACTTGATGTACCTGCTCCGACAAACTTAACCCTTCCAGGTAAAGCTGGCAATTTCCCAGATCTGCTAATTTCCCTCCAACTTTCTCATATATCCTGGCTTCAGTCTCCACTCTGTCAGCAGTGTTTTTTCGCCCTATATCTCGAAGCACTTCACAGAGTTTGGGGAAAACACCAACACCCTTCTTGCCACGGATAGCGACTAACCGACGTAACAATATGTCCACTTGCTTGTGTCCATCTTTCTCACTTCTGATTTCGGACACGGCCGCATCTCCGCCAGTGAACACTCCATTGCTGATAAGTCTATCCAGCAGATCATCTACACAATTGTGTAATCGCTCTTTCAGCCATCCTCGCAGATAATTCAGTGCCTTCACCTCGTTGCCGAACATAACAGCCTCAGGGATAGGTAATACTAATATTATCTAACTTACTACTAGACTGATAGTGCTTGTACTCTGAAATAACTAGGTTTGGCACGGTTTCACCTCCCTCCGCAGGAACGAAACATTTAGAAATAGCGGTTTCTAGCTGGAAAGGTCGCTTGCGCAAGCCGCACTGTAGCGAATCATAATACTAGTGCGCATATTTCAGTGAGCATGTCTAACCGGGCACTGCACTCAGTTCCATCCAAACTACGTCTACTCCGGGAAGGACAGGTGGCTCTATTCTGTTTTGGTTTTTTGAGTTTTGAACTCTTTGCTTTCACCGCTGCCGCTTGACTTTGAATGATCCCCACTCATTTCCTGGATGGAAAATCCAGGCCTGCACGTGCAGCTAGCTGCAGAGTTGTTTCTCGCCGCGCCGGCGCCGCGCGCCAGTGCAGTGCAGTGTTGTGTATGCAAGTGTCCTGTTATCGCGAGGGAGTAGTATTTTTACTACTCTCCGAGACTGAACCCGGCGTTCCCGCGCTTTTACATTCGATTTTTCTTGTGCTGAGCATCCATTCACGTTCACAGATTTATAAATCGATTATAACTGATAAAAGATTATTGAGTACGAGTATTCACAGCCACTCTTGTACTCGGGAGTTTCGTCCCTTTGAGGAGGATGGCTGACGGCTCGGGCGAAGCCATTGCCAAATTTACTGGCCATAAAGTGTCCAGCGTGAAATGGAGGCCCGTCCAGCGAGGTAGTTTGGTACCATCCAGTATTTTCGTCAGTGGCAGCTGGGATCAAAAGGTAGGGCAAAGCACTCTTTAGAGAGTATTATCTGCAGCTGATGTTATGCGAATGCGTGTGGATCCCAACGAAAAGAAATTAATATCCGGCATGAACGAGAATATTATACTGCATTGCTGTTTAGGTTTTTTCTAAGTACAAAGCCTCTTTTTATAGGCAAAAAAACAAGGGCAGAAATAGGAAATCATTTTTAGAGGAGCAATCCAGAGATGCAATCTAGCAGCCTCCTAACTACTTTGTACATGCAAAATTATTACCATCAAGTTGTCAGGGGTCTCAAGTCTTAGTTAGGCGTGTTTCTGCGACGACAACTGCATTCTCGCTGGTCGGATCGAGACCTCGTCTATCTGGCACCCCACAAACACATAATGCTGGACCAAAATTTAAATTAGCACAAAGCAGAGCCTTGCACGAATCCACGCCATGATTATAGCGTACTGCTCATTTCTCTTTTCAGAGACAGGAGCAGCCAGGTGGTGTGAAGAGTACAGGAAACCGAGAGTGTGCAGCTTGTGACTTTTTCTGCATGGGTGTCTGTCACGGCGAAATTCCGGGGTTACATCATAATTGGTGCAGATAAGCGGCTGCAAGTGCCGTAGTGCGTACAACTGCGCTGCAGTTGTGCAGAAAGAGATCCGCCTGTACGTACTGTATCACTAAAGTGATGTCATCGCAGAATTTCGCCGTGACACTAGCCCATCCAAGCTGTACACTCTGGGTTTCATGTACTCTTGGTGGTACTTGTAGGGCTTGTTGCAGCCTTCCCAGCACCACCACTGACCCACGTTACAACTGGGACGGAAGAATCCCGCTCAACCTCACTGGTTCTCTCCTCGTGTCACCTCTTTCTCTTCTCTCTCTGTCTCTCTCTCTCTCTCTTCCCTCTCTCTCTCTATCTAATCTATCTATCTAGCTCCTCTCTCTCTCTCTCTCTATCTATCTATCTTTCTTTATATCTTACTTTGAAGTACATAGAAATAGAGTTCTCCTTTGTCAGAGAGACATATTGAAAATGATTGCACTTTGCACTGTGCAGAATTGCAAAAGGTCCTTGTGTTACACTTGCAACAACTGTTGATCGGACACAACGCTTGCGTGCCATGTTGATGGGCGGGTAGTGTACACTTGACTACAGTGTTGTGGAGCAGGAGAATGTAAGTGAGCAATGGGCGTTCCCACTCACTTGATCACACTGCAACAGATGTGTGTGTTTGTGTGTGTGTGTGTTTGTGTGTGTGTGTGTGCTTGTGTGTGTTTGTGTGTGTGGTGTGTGTGTGTGTGTGGTTTTCTATTGTAGGATAATGTCGTGAGTGTATGGTCGACCGCGCAGAGGAATGGCGTTGCAAGTAATGAAGGCGCTGATGACCTTCAGGCAGTTCAGCAGCCAGAGCTAGTGACTAGCTGTCGGCATGATGGTGATGTCACAGATATACAGGTAAGAGACTGCTAAGGGGCTGTCCGAGGTTACCAATAATATTTTCGAAACGAAATGTTTTCGTTTGTGGGTGGGTGGGTTTGATGGTGTTTCGTTTTGAAAATAATTATTGAATGCTGATTGAGAATGCCCAGTTACTTCTGGATGTCGAAAATTGACATCAATATTTTATTGGAATTCGTTTTACCTGCAGAAAAGGTGGGTGGGTGGGTGGGTGGGTGGGGGCTGAAAAATACAAAAACTTTTCGTTTTGTAAAAACAATCGGTAACCCCGGACGGCCCCTAAGGGTGTATTAACTCAGTTACTGTGCACTGAAACCTGTCTAAGACGACCACTCAAGGGACCTTCAAAACGTGGTCTCTGTTACCAGGTGGTCTCCTTGTCCAGGGTCATTTGACTGGAAATAGCATCCCTTGGTCCTGGTTTTAGTGGTCTTTTAGAACAGGTGGTCGCCGTATCCGAGTGGTCGCCTTGACAGGTTTTACTGTACGACCAATGCACGCATCACCAGGAAGGCGAATATGCTGAATGTGTCGTGTTCCAGCAAGCTCATTCACGTAGAGAACCTGGCGACCCTGGCTTCCTAAATCTGGGCCTACATTGGTTTTTTACAATGCAAAACGAGTACATGACAAGTTCATTTCGTTCATTATGAGTGTGAGTTGTGATGAACTCGTCATTGAGCTGTACCATCCCAGCCACCTTTTAAAGTATATATTGTGTAAAGGGTTCATTTGCGCATGGTAATTATTTTTCAGGATAATTGCTTCTGTATCCAGTTCTTGCATTGCAATGGATGTTGAGAGTTGTTGAAAAGTGTAATGAAGTCACGTGTAGTCGTCGTCTTGTCCTGTTCTCTTGACTTCCTGCCATTGTTCTCTTGTTCCTATCAGGGTATCTTGCATTTCTTTTGAATAACTGTGTCTGAAAACCTTTATCTCTGTGCTGTGTGATTTTCTAGTATTTCGATGAGGAGCGATTCCTTGTGGCATCCTCTCAAGGTTCAGTGTCGTTGATGGCTCACCTCCCGCGTGATCAGGTCAGTGACACTGAAAGTGCATACTCTGTTATTTGCTTTTGTTGTTTGTCTCCCTGTATTTTTCTTTCTTCTTCCTTCCACACGCCATTTCTTTTCTCTCCCCCCCCCCCCCCCCCCCTCACTCTATCACTCTCTCTAATTCTCTGTGTGTTGATACACAGACTGCAATACAGTGTGTTCACCGATGGGAAGGCCTTCATCACTTTCAGTCCGGCATGCACTGTCCGTGCACTTCAATAGCAGTGGGCATGGACACTGTGGCTACGGTGGGCGAGGATGGCACCATCAACGCGCTACGCATCAACCGCTCACAGCCCATTTGGACTGCCGGTAAGTGCGACCTTTGCAGCACCCACTGCAGTACATGGGTGTGTGTGTGTAGCTTAACTTCCCTTGAAGCACTGTATACCGGTAATCTCATGACACTCACACGCTCATGCTATTGGCCACGTGTGCGCTGTGTTGAGATAACTTAGCTTTCACTGAGGTTGATGTCAGCACATTGTCGCGCCTGCCGTGTCATGAGCGGCATCCTCGTGGTTGCAGTTGTTCTCGTGTCAGCTGCGTGTCTGTGCACGTGTAACTATGCTTGTCCGTGGTTGTGTTTGTGCGTGTTTGCTGTGCAGAGAATGCTGACAGCTGTTGTCTAAATGCGGTGCTTGTACTGCGCGCCTCGGAGCTGCTGACCATCAACTCTGGCCGTCACCTGAAAGTCTGGGACATGCGCTCGCCGGGGAAGAAACACTCCAAGCTCATGCTAATGTACGCCGAGATCAAACATCCTCTTTTGCTGTGCTTTGTGTTGACAGCGTTTGTTTCTATTGTGTGCGTGGATTATCGTTCAGATGGCATGTGTTGGGTTCTCCAACATGGTTAAAAAAAAGCCATGTGATGCTGATGACGAGCATCTTGTGAAGTCTAGTTGGTGGTGTTGATTACGATGACACTCGGGTTATTCATTAGTCTGAGGGAGTTGCACACTCATTTTGTCGTTGTTGTTGCTGTTGTGATCGTTTTCGATCTGCTCCATCTGGATACCCATCGTGCCGTTTGCTGTCTTTGACTCTTTGGCGTGTGCTTGCCACCGTGGTGCAGGTCCGGTGAGTCAGGCTCTCTGAACTGCGCTGCCAAGCATCCCACGCAGAGCCACGTGGTGGCGTGCGGCGATAGCAACGGCGTGCTGAGCGTGTGGGACATGCGACAGGAGCGCTACCCGGTCACGCTGATGGAGGCGCATCAAGACAGCAGTAAGACACCGTGCCACGATCGTTGGCCTTCTATCAGATTTTTTGAACACACCGTGGGTAATAATGAAGGGCAGAATCACCACAGAACACACCGCTGTCCTGTCGCATACATGTATGCCGTACTCAACAGGAAATGAGCCATAGGCACTGCAGACTCTTGTTGTACATGTAGTTGTCTCTTTGTCTGTCGTGTGTTTTTCTGGGCTATGGGTTCTGTTCAGTCTGTATGCAGAAGTTCACTTTGTGTCCTACATGTATCTATTGATTGCGGCCGCGGGTAGTATTAGTTTTTTACCGCCGCTCAGACTATCCCATGTATGGTAGTGGTCAAGCGTATGCTTTGTGTGTGATGTGAAACCCGGGTAAACTTTGCACCAATGTCGTGAATGAGTGGCATGCATACTTTTACTTCCAAATGCTTAGGTTTTTTTTGAGAATAGTAACTGTTGTTTGGTGGTGGGGTAAGGCGAAGTAAAAAGGACAGCAGATTTTGGCTTCTTGCTGCTTCAGATGCATCTTTTGCTGTTTGTGATGTTAAATAGAAAGTGGTGTATATTGTTAACTTCTAGGACATTGTGAATAGCGCACTCTAACTTTGTTTTTGGCCAATGCTCTGCTGTGTGCGGCATTTTCTTTTCAGTCTGGGACGTGCGTTTCCATCCGCTGAAGCCCAACCACATCTTCACGTGCTCGCAAGACGGTGCCGCATTCCACTGGGACGGCTCGGCGCAGCGCTCCATGCAGCTAGCGTCCAGCGGTGCTGTTCCCAGCCTGCTGGCGAGCAGGACGACTGGGGATAGCATCTCTGAGAGCAACCCGTGGCTCAGCGGCGATCTCGTGAGGTCGCGTGTCAGCGTCGCCAGCCTGTTGCCCAAGAACCCACTGCCTGTCAACAGCCTGGACGTCGATGCCCTCTCCAACTCGGTGGTCCTGGGCACGGACAGTCAGGCCGTGTGTCTCGTGTCCGGCATCACAGTGCAGTAACACATAGCAGTGAGCTACTGCCTTGTGTCCGGCATCACGTCACAGTAACCATGTGCTAACAGCAGTGGGCTACTGTCTCGTGCCAGGCCCCCACAGTACAGTAACAGCAGTCAGCTACTACTGATTTTGACCTTATGCCCCCATACTGAAGTGACTGCTGCCCTGCAAGAGTGCTGCTCCTCTGAGGATCCAGTCTCTTGCCAGTTGAGATTGCCCGCTTCCTGAGGCTGTGCTCCGAAGAAAGAAAACCGCCAATGCTAGCACGGCAGGCCAATGCAACTCGCACTATGTTTATATAACTTTATTGTGGAGCTGCGCTGGTATTCCCTCAACATGTGTGCCCCGCTTGGCTATGTTTGCTAGCCTGCTGTTGGCTGTAGTGTGGTCAAATGAAACATGCAGTCAAGTTGTGTTGCAATTCTCAGTGATGGCATCATTGTACACGTTCCGGTGTACTAGCTTATTTGTGTACAAAGCATCATACTTCAGGTTGCTGTTAGACGCAGCATGCTTGGTCCTCCTTGATTGTACTGTGCAGTGTGCAGTAGGATATTGGCCATGTGTCCAATCTTAAGTTTTATTTTTGAAATTCCAGAATGTAACACTGTAGCGATTTGTAGGTCCTCTTATCAACAAGCACAGTTCCTTCCATGTCAGACTTGTCATGATGAGCAGATTGTCCATAGCACTAGGATCATTTTCTAACCTTTCGCGTTCTCTCCTTTCTTGTCCTGCTTCACAACTGCTCATGACGACGAATCAAGCAATTCCCACGAAGATTCTTCAGACGATTGATGAATTGCTTTTACCGGTACTTGTAATTAGCCTCGCTTGATCGTGCAATTTTGCCTTCCACTGGGCAATGTGTGGTCGTCCGTGCTTTGGTCCTTGGACTGTTGTACATCGTACTACGTTTTACGCGGCGGCTGTGTACCTGAGAAGGCTGTGTGTAAGTTCGTATAGCAACTGCTTCGAGTACATGCAGTACATGTACTTGTAGTTCAATGGCTGGATGTCATCTTTGTGTGATGTGACAGTGTATTGCAGCCCATCATGACATGTGCAAATACATGTACTGATTATACAACTTCATTCCAGTTTGGTCACTGGTTGGGTTTCCTGCATTGCTCTACTGCGTGTTGCTCGCAAGTGGATTCGTTCACCGTGTTCACCGTGTTTGCTGGAATAGCATGCTGCAGATTAGAAGTCGTGATGGTGGGAATGCTGGCACTCGGCATTCCATCTTTCTCTGTCTCTCTCTCTCTCTCTCTCTCTCTCTCTCTCTCTCTCTCTCTCTCATACACACACACACACACACACGCTCTCCATGCAGTAATTATAGTACTGCTTGCTTGATATAAAGAGACTGCATGCTGGATTCATTATTCTTTTCTCTTCTAGTGCTCAACTTTGCTCAGGAACAAGCCATGGTGATGGGAATGAAGTAGAGTGACAGCATGTCGGACCACCAGGATGAAGAGTTCATTGTAACTCAAGCCATTAAAAAAAATCAAAATGCTATAACCCAGAGAGTCTGGGGGAGTGCACCAGCTAACATGAGCAGGACAGCACAAATTCGTCAAGTAGCTGCAATGACCTACTCATACAGGTATGGCTATGATCTTGATAGTGTTTGACAAACAAAACAAAGATCAATGGGAGCTCAACTGTTAGTTCTTGATTGTTGGACATCTGGTTAGTTCAATTGTAAAATAGACGATAGCGAATAGGTCTGATTTCTTTGGATTGTTCTTGTCTGGCGATGTGGGATTCAGCAGCTTCAGTGGATACTGGCGTCAAGCATAAACAACAATGGTGCCAATACCTTTGCAATAGTGTCCTGGCTAATACCGGTAATCGGGAGACTAGGTGCTGGACACAGGGGAGTTGTCATGCTCCAAGCTACAAGTAGATGTTTCCTGGCACTGAGTGGTAATGTGCTGCCTGGCCTGTGACTGCAGTGCTTGGGGACGGGTGTGCTGGACAGTTACAGGACACTAACGGCAGCTCCAGCGAGGTTGGCCCCGCGGCGTGCAGTCTCTGCGCTCACAACGCGACCCTTGTTGACAACCCTGGTCGTGATCTTTCTCTTCTTTTGCTGCTGCTGCTGTTGTTGTTGCTGCTGGTGATGTTGTTGCTGCTGGTGATGTTGTTGCTGTGGCTGTTGCTGCTGATGATGTTGCATTTCTTCCCAGTGATACTTCTGCTGCTGCTGTTGATGCTTCTGCGCCGAGTGGGCGATGTTGCTCTCGGATCCGGACGCGCCGTCAGCTGCCATTCTGGGTCCTAGCTTGGCGGTAATGTCGGCGGTGTTCTGCCATGAGCGTGGTGGTGGCTCAGTGGCCACCGCACCATTACTACCGCTAATACCGCTCACCACTCGCCTCCGGACCACACCGGCACTGCTTGAGGATGATGGACCCGGACTAGGCTGAACGACGCTGGCTCCGTTTAGATCTACGGCCGCTCGGTGTATCTCGGTGACCAGCTGCTCGCTTGTGCACGATGCTGGATAGCTGCTGTCAGGCAGCATCTGTGAGCCTGGTCGAGACGACATTCTACTGTGTGCTGCTGCTGAGGACGATGAGCTGGTGGTGGTTATAGCTGGTGATATCCTGGCCGCTAGTAGCTGGTGACCTGGTGCACTTTGCTGATGTTGATACTGCTGCTGTTGTCGCTGCTGTCGCTGTTGCTGGTGCTGCTGGGGCTGTTGTTGCTGTTGATAGGATTGCCTATTGACTTGAGGCTGAACAGCATTGGTGCCAGCACGCCCATGCTGCTGCTGTGCTGCAGTCACTGATGCTGCTGCTGCTGTACCACCGACAGGATAGTAGCTGTCCTGGCCCTGCTGCATGCTTTGTAGTGGATTGGTTGGTTCCGGTGACGGCGACGGTGATGGTGACGGCGAGTTTGCCTCCACGTCCTCCACCAGCGGTTGATTACGCCCTGGAACCTGGTCGGCGAACGTCACTCTCTGCCGGCTCCTCTGAGGAGCCAGCACCGCAACGGTTGGTCGATCTCGGCTGTCACGGAAACGGCTGCTAGGTGCAGCCATGCCTTGATTGCTCTGTTTCTTTGTGAGATCAACTTGTGCATAGCGTGGCCGCTTGTCAGACTTGTCACCCCTTGGCTCTGTTGGTGGCAGTGTTTCTGACTTTGGCTTTGCTGGAAGTGGTGGTGGTTTTTCTTGCGTTTGAAACGGTGCCAGAGATGACATTAATTGGTGCTTGGTCTCCGAACTCAGCAGGGACTTCCCCATCTTGGTGACCCGCTCATAGATCTCGCCGGATTCTTCGTTCGCGGCTGCCTCTGCGTTCTCGTGCGCTCTCATGAACGCTTCCACTTCGTCCGCGTCTCGTTCCAGTGTTGATCGCCGAGTGTCGCCGCCGCCATTGAACTGCTGCATTATGCTGTTCCGTGGTGCTGTACTGGCAGCAGGAGCCGCTCTGGTACGGAGCCTTGCCACAGGAGCATTCACCGGCATCATTGACGCTTGCCCTCCGGATATATCGCCAGCAATCATAAACTCGTACGCATCGTCATCCATTGCCTGCTCTGCTGCACTGGTGTTGGCGACAACAGCAGTGGGCCTGCTGCTGCTGCAGCTGGGTTTGTCGGGAACGTCGCAGCCGGCCGGTGGTAACCTTTGTGGTGTCGACGACGGTAGTATTGGAAGTGGCTTGTCGCGGAACGCCTTGGGTATTCTCGGCGTGTCTAGCGTCCTGGCCGTGGCTGCTGTGTGCATGCCCTCGTTGTCCGTATCCGCGCCGACGATCTCCACGTCGTCGTAAAGGTCCTCGTCCTGCACCATGATGGCCATCTCGGACTTCCAGCGGCGACTGATTGCAGATGATCGGTGCTCCAGCCCGACTTCATCCTCACTAAACGCATGTGTCGGTGCGCCCCGGTCACCATAGGATATTGTTTCGTAGTCGATGGCTGATGCCGGTCGGCGATAGGGTGCTGGTGCTGCCGGTGGCCTTGTCGTAGGCGCTGGTCCACTGTCGAAGCTGTCGTGTCGGGGCATTTTCTGTTGCTGAGATTGGCCTCCATTGCTGCTAGCACTTTGAGGTAGCAATGCATGCTCTGGGTAACGACTGCTGCGCTCACCGTTGCCTGTTGCTGGGTTGTTCTGCCATGCTCCTGCTCCTGCTCCTGCTGCTGCTGGACTTGCCGAGCCTGGGGGTTGACCTGTGACTTGCTGCTGCTGCTGTGCACCACCTTGTGTGTCCTGTTGCCACTGACTGCTTGCGTGCGCCTGGTGGTGGTGGTGGTGTAGCGCCGCGGGGTCTTCCTGGGGTTGCTCATCCGCGCTGTTTGGCTGAGGGTGTTTCGATTGGCTGCTCGGAGCACCTCTGCCCAGCGAGTCGGCGGCTGGTTTGTTCGCTGCCTCGCACGTCACATGCTCCGGGTGTGCCTTTGTGACCGCGGCTGGCAATGGCGGTAAAGACAGGGCCGGTGGTCGTGGCAAGTGCAGTCGGAAAACCTCCAGCCATTCCAGAAGTTCAGATCTGCACAAAGCACAGCACAAAGCAGCGAACAGCAGAACAGGACATCAAACACCCAACAGAGCAGTGGGCATTACGATGAAAAGTGAGTCTTCCTGACTTTTAGTGATCTGCCACGAGGGCTGCACATGCCAACAGGGCCAGCATATTGTTGTTACTATGGTGACCTACCACCAACCCCCACCCTGCACCCGTACCCCATAGTCCATACCCTTCTCTTACTATTAACGATCAATCCCCACAACTGGATCTAGGCACCTTCCCACATCTGTATTATGGTGGGTGGGCGGGGGTCATAGCCAGTCCATGTGCCAAGCTTCTGCTGAAAAGCATGCAGCAGTACATGTAAGTGTCCCCTTGTACTGGACGCTGTCGGATACTCACGGTGTTCCGGCTGCAAAGCGGAGTGTCTTGATGAGAAACTGGAATGCCAGGCAGAACGGATACTTGTCGCCGGATACTTTCAGGTGATACAGTGCCAAGTAGGACTCGATGAAGATGACGCCGCTGGCCCGGTTGCCCCTGGTGAAGTCGTCCTGGGTCTTGTAGTACCAGAGACTCAGGCGTTTGTTGGTGTCCTCCATGAACACAAAGTACCTCCGCCGCCATGGCTGCAGAGAGCCACATGTGCAGGTACACACACACACACACACACACACACACGTACACACACACACACGTACACGCACACACGCATTAGTACATACGAGTTTGAGAGACAGAGAGAACGTTCAGAGATACAGCCTTACAGGATTGTAAAGACTAAAAAGGGCCTGCTGGTCTCCTTCACACTGTCTCCGTCCAATGTTCTAGTAACCATGATTACCACTTAAATCTGGGGGCTAGCTGATCTGTCCATGCCCTCAAAAGTCATTACAGCCTTATAGAGTTTGTACGCTGAACAACTAACACGTAGTGAGAAACGCGCTATGGTGATCATGGCTACAGGCCCTATTGGCATAATATTGCTCCCCAGCCACGATCCACCTGCTCTGTCACCCAGTCATCACACCAAACTACACCATTTGATTGAAGTGAGTGAAGTACTACACTATGTTACTCAGGTAGTCATTGGTACGTATACACGTGTAGCGTACGCAGGAGAAACCTACCATGCGTTGACACTATTCGTTCCCGTGCTCATCATGTAGTTTGGAGTAGTAACTATGTATGGTGACATTCCGTAAGCAATACTCGAGAACGAGTCCTTTCTTTGGTTCTGTGATGCATGGTTTGGGTGTGAATGCTCACCAGACAATTGTCCGCCGTGTATGCTGATTTCCACCCGAACTGAAATGGACTTTCAGCTCCTGCGGGGCTTGCACACTTGTCTTTTCGGTGGCTACTAGTATTCACCGTTCTGGTCAGTTCGCCTCGGCTCACTGCATGGAGATGTGCAGGGCTCACTGCATGGAGATGTGCAGGGCGGCAGTGGCTCCTACACTCAGACGTTATACTGCTTCAAGGAGTAGTCTTGTCACACACGGTGTGCGTAGAGGTCCAGGACAATACCAAAGGCTCATACTACAGGTATCTAACTCGACAACAAGGATAATAGCTTGATATCAAGCCTCTCTTTCCGGTATAGCTATATAAAAGAAGAAAAGGGAATTATATTGGGTGGATTAACGTAACCGACAGCCATGGGTTTCAACTTTCAAGTCACCTTCCGTGTATGGTTTTCAAGCAAGCCAGCTTACACCTCCCATAGTTTTTTTTTAAAAGCAAGCTGGCATAAACCACCCATGGCCCGGATGAACAGAGAATACTCGGGTACAGTGCACGTGCAAGTATACATAACTTCATAAGGTTACCTTGAGGTTCTTCAAACGTTGTGCTTTCTTGGCCGCATAGAGAGGCGGCGCCTTGCTCAGTATGCCCTGCTTGAAGATCCTCTCCACCTGGGTGTCGACCGGTCGAAACAAAGCGGAGCTTTGGTTACTGTGGTGCACGATCTCGCCGTCCTTCATATTCTTCTCTCTGTGATGACCGCGCAGCTGGTGATGAAGACGCCTCCTCCCACTCTGTAGCTTTGCTCCAGCTCCCAAAGGCTGATTGCTGCCAGCTGGGGCTGTCTGCTTGACGTGTTGCTAGCTAGCTAGTCCTGACATACTGAGTTTTGCTGCCACTGTGGTGGGCGCTCACTGGATTCAGCTCTTCACCAGTCCCAATTCCATTGCTGGGCTGCACGCTACGTCCTCGGCATGAACTTTTTCTCCACGCCCCTCCGTGGTCAGACACACACCCGCGCAGACGTAGGTGGATAAAAGTGAGTTCCTCACTGATACTTGTGTTCACCGAATACTGTTCGACCAGGCATATACGCTTCGTTTAATCGCCTGCTGCTGCTGCTGCTGCTGCTGCTGCTGCTAAACGTATGATGAGCAAAAGATACCCTCCGGTTACTAGAACTACTGTTGTAATGTAAAGGTAGTGGTGTCTGAAAGCAATACACACCTTCAGTGCGTAGTATCACCATCGATCTAGTTTCCGCTTGCTTTGACCTTGGGCAGCCAAGAAGGACAACAGCGTTGATTACTATCTCCAGATTAGGCGAGCAGGTGGAAGACGCAACAAGCCTCCGCACTGGAAACGGAATGCTCCACAGCAGTAGCATTACGCGTTGAGCCGAGGATCAGGGCCCTGGTATCTCTGAGTGGCCAGTACTTTCCCCTTGGACAATTTACGTGCTGTAGACCACCTTGGAACGGTCAACCATGCTGTCTGCTTTCACACCATAGGCAGTTTTCTCACTCCATGTGCACATGCGATGGTGTACTTGCTGGAAGCGTGCAGGGCATACAATGATACATGCCCATACTCGCACACTGGTAGCAACTATCGCCAATACCCTGCATGCGCGCACCGCTATGCCGTTGCCTGGATATGGCGTATGCGAGCCAGTGTCCTCGAGCCAGCGGAACCGCCAGTCTGCGTAAAGTGCAAGCGATTCGCGTCCTAATCACCGGCGACTATAGCTGAGGCTTGCACGGCAATGGGCAATGTAACACGATGCGCAGTGACGGCACGATGGGCCAATATTGGCGATAATGCAATCTTGTCGGGAAAGACTTCCCATGAATGAAGTGTGCAGGAATGAAGTGAGCCTTCTCTCTGGTTTTCCTGTACCGTGTCGAGTGTAGAGGGTACCTACCCGCGCTGACCACCAAGCATCACTCAACTACTTGGCTAGCAGTAGTAACTGGTGTTACTCCAAATGTGGGTTGTCTTTTTGCTTTGGTTCTTGCTTCATGGTTTCACGCTATTGCCAGTATTGGCGTTGTGAATAAACCCGGACGGGTACCCGTTCTCGAGTAACTGGTGTACTTGCAGTAGACCTACGAGCGTGGTGGGCAGTGTGCAAGGACGGGGACGGTGGAAGGACATGTCACACATTGTGACTGTGAAACTGGAAGGTCTAGCTGCAGTCATAAGACTCATAGCAGGTGCTCGCTCTAAAAGCGTTCGTGCCTAATGGCCCGTGTGTCAGCCGATTTCCCTGTTGGACGAGGGACTGCAAGAGAGCCGGCTGCTCCCGCAAAGCGTTATCCCGGCACCCTGCTGCCACAGCACCCTCACCATCACCTACACCAGCGGCAGTGCTCCAACCCCACTGCGACACACGCACGCACGCACACAGTGTGTCACTGAACAGGGCAGAATCATGTGAAATGTACTCATTAACCGCAGTGAATACGTCATGTGTGCTCGCATAGAACTCACGCGGAGCGTACACCGCTGGAAACCGGTGCGCAGAATGTAAACAAAACTCCTCTGTGCTTGCCAAGAAGCATTGAATAAAGCCTGGCGCGCCTGTATCGCCGTCACCGGTCACTAAGTCTTTGGTTTGTGTTGCAATAAGAATAGTCGACTCTAGTCTTGTAGTGCCTCTAACAGTAACACCCCTACTAGATGCACGTTGGTCTGAGGCTATGGATAATGGATAATGGCGGGCACGTAACCATATGGCAATCATGTGCAATGATCTCCGTCCTCCACGGTGCCAGGTTCACCTCTAACAGTTACTTAGTCTGCCACCCACCATCTTCTTCTCCAAGCTCCAGCTTGAGATCCACAGTGTCGTGGGTCTCAGACTCAGGACTCCCTGCCGATGAAAGTATGCTCCAACAATGCAAGTTATGCAACATGCACAGGCTGGGCGCATGATGATAAGCTGTACGTGTAAATAATTTCTCGTGGAAACACCACTATCATGGTAGTGTTCCTGCTCCTGCAGCAGTACATGTACGTGTACGTCGTGGTAGACAGGTGATGCAAGTCGTAGATCTACTCAGGTGTTACCATAGCAAAACCTGCGAGCTGTTTCCGCTGCGCCGCCGCTTCATGGAGGTGTCAACAGATAATGTGTGTGACAGTGTACATTATCATTTTATCATACCAATGCAACCGACAATGTCCATCACCTCCTGTACTTCCATACAAACCAGGGAGTAGTACCATACTACTCCCTGGTACAAACAGTGCTAGTGGCATGGATTCAGGCCAGGGTGACATCAGTAGATTCCACGCGATACCTGTACCCGCCGCTAGCCTGCCACTCACTGAGTCTTAGTCCAGTGGATACTATGATTTTAAAATTATGCACTTTTTGTGCTGAACTTGAACACCCCAACAATTTTCTGATCTTTGGTGGCCTGCTCGCGAATATCCTCGTACGAGTGTGGCCTTTCGCGACTTCAGTGTGGTGGTCACCCAGGATGTAGTTGGTCAAGGTCGGAACTGACTCGGAAGGGCCATTGCCCGTATACCAAAAATAAGTATACTTAGATAGTGGAGACGCGAAGGAATCATTAGGAATGCATACCTTTTAGGATACGTAGTCTGACTCTGAGCCACATTGAGTGTGGGTGAATGTGATGGTCGACTTATCACGCCAGCCGCAGCGACCGTATCCGGGTGCTAATCATAGTGCGAAGAATTCATTATTCTTGTCGCATTGTGTCGCACCCAGCTATAGGCCACGTCGTGAGCTGAGCCGAAGCGTTCACCTTCCGCGAAGTTCCGCCTCGCGAGCCGTGTAGATCTTCACGGCTCGCGAACCTTTCTGAGCGCGTGGAATGCCAGGTCCACCCATGCAAGAAGTTTGATCTCGGTCTTATAATGTGTCCTTCAGTACAGGAATCTCAGTCTTACTCTAGGCCCTCTACATTGTACTTGTACGTTTTAATGTCACAGGCAAGTGCAGGAAGAATCCAGGTGGGACACTTGAAACGGTGAACCCTCAAGGCATAATACAGTTGTGGTTGGAGAAATTCGACCTCATGAATAACGGACACACATGGCCTTCAGTTTCAGGGGATACGGTTTTGAAAGTATTTGATGATTCTCGAAAGGCACCTCGCCTGTCGAGGGGTCTCCATAATATTAAGAAAAAATAATAATAGTTACCGTTTGCATGTCACTCATGGAAGGATCCATGGCATCTGTCAATGAAATCCAGGCAGAAGAGCCAACAAAAGCCATCTCAATATTGTTAGAACGTATCCATAACCGTGAGTGTTCTACAGATGAGACTCACTGACATGAGAGATGAGCACGGAAGGCTAAAAAGGGGAAATGCTCAGGCCATAGCTTTTAATATAATTATAAAATCTACCAGGTAGCTGCAGCCTGTAGGCTGTAAGTGAGTTTAAGATCAAAGTAACTTATGACAGAAAGCGAAACCTATCACGGAGATGTGTTAGTGGACTTCGTTTGTGCTGAATCTATATCTTCTTTTGTGCTGCAGACATGGAACGTCACACATGGCTACAGTCGATGTGGCGGCGAACGAGCCGCCGGCATTCATGTAGAGCTGACTTTACTAGTATTCCGCTCGGGTTTTCAGTGTCCACTGAAACCCTATTTCAGGTGTGTGAAGTGCTATAAGTCATAATGTCCCGTACCGTTTGGTGTGCTCGTGTATGATGATCTCACTGCCACAGAGTCAGTAGGCAGGCTACATAATCTCCGAACTCACGCAGCAGATATCTGTACAAAGGCATGATGTAGATCTACATGGCTGTATGCCTTGAAGTTAGTTGCAGTAGCACTCTCACTGCGGTGTGTAAATCTACAGACTACTGTCTGATTATGGAGCCGCGCTACATCCATGCACACGAGTCGCCATACGTATTACACTATTAATTTTGCACAGGGACAGGGAGGTGAAGTGACCTTGCTCGGTATCTCATCATCACGACATCAGTGCAGTGGCCACTACACTCAAACAGCTACCATAATTATTACATATCAAGTGACCGACACATATTTGAGGAATCGGCACCAGCGTACAACGATGCCCTCAGAGAGAGTGGATACGTGGAACGAGTCGAGTACATGGAAGAGAGGAAGGAGGAGACAGGACGAAGAAAGAAAAATAGGCGGCGCAACATCACTTGGTACAACCCACCCTTTAGCAAGAACGTGGCCACAGACATCGCACACAAATTCCTCCGACACACACTTTCCTCACGGCTGCCGATTGCGTCAGATATTTAACCGCAACAACGTCAAAGTTAGCTATTCATGTATGCCGAATATGTCCGCAATAGTCAAATCCCACAACAACCATGTTCAAAGGAAGAGACAAACACAGGACAAGAACGTCCCCGACAAACGATGCAACTGCCGAGACAAAAGCACCTGCCCAATGGACGGCGACTGCCAAGTACGATGCATCGTGTACAAGGCAACAGTCCAGCACACCGGAAGAGAGCAGCGGCACGAGTACCTCGGCCTAACGGAACCACCCTTTAAACAGAGATACAACAACCACATGAGCACGACGAGGCATGAGAGGATGGAAAAAAGCACGGAGCTGTCCAAGTGCATATGGAAGCTCAAGCGGAAGAACACTCCGCACTCTGTGAAATGGGCCGTCGTCACCAAGGCCCAGGCCTACTCGAACGCGACCAAGCGGTGTCCCCTATGCCTTGCTGAGAAACTGGAGATCCTGGAAGCAGACAAAACGGTCAACATCAATAAAAGGTCGGAGTTGGTGTCGAAATGCAGACACGAGAACAAGTATTACTTGTCCAGATTCTCACCATCAGTTACGTGAGTTTTTCGACATGGCGCAACCTGCACCAGGTTTGGCGCCATGGTGCTTTCTCTCTCCCTCTTCACTCTTGCTGTGGTCTTGCGCTACCGTCGCTATCGCCTTTAATGACTCGGTAACACTGCCCTGTTATCGCCTCTCTTCTCACCTTTATCCGTTAACTCTCACAAAACAACTCAATACCATTGTCCCAATGCCACGTCTTCACTTCGCACATATGCACTAACTTCCACACTAGCATCAAATATCTAGGCCTGCTCGTAGAGAATTCGATAGTGAATGCTGCTGTCTGATGATCGCTCGATGCGTGAAACTTTAAGTTACAGCTAACACAGCCTTTCGCCTCTGTTGTGTGTGTCAATAATTATTATGCATGTGTACCGCGGTCACAACTAAGGTCAAGCACTCACATGCACACACTCACACCTCAGACAGAGGCTCAGTGACTGAGATGGTGTCTTTGCTCTCTGTTACTGTTAGTGTTAGCTGCCTGCCAGCTTCTGTCTGCTACGAACGTTATCAGTACGACAGTAGTAACCACTAGTGCTGCAGTATACTAGTAGTACGGGTGCATTTGGATCTTTTCTGCCCAGCTCCGCATTCGATAACTCAGAAGCAGGGAGTCGTATTATACGACTCCCTGCTCAGAAGTGACTCCGCATTCGGCCTTTTAGAGTCATGTACAAAATAATTATAAACAAGGCCGGTCTAGGCAGCTCGAGGTAGAGTGCTCAATGCACGAATGTACAGAGCCGTATACACATACAACAGAGGCGAAAGGCTGTGTAGCTGCATAATTATGTGTCCCATGTACACGTGCATGTATGACGTTTTCACGCGACCAGCACGTGACGTTGTCGTACCAAAGCGTGTGCCATGCGCTGGAAAAGACCGGGAAATTCAAAAAACAATGCTGATGCTGATGCTATGTACGACAGCCAGGTCCAAAAACAAAGTTGTACACAGGAGATGGAGCGCGAAAACGACGAAAACGACAAACGTGGCTTTCTACAGGGGTGCGCCAGTTGCTGAAAACCTACAAAGCGCATTTTGCATTTCGCACGCGTCGGCATGACGATTTCTACTGTAATGCCGTTTGTACGTGATTTTGTACCTAGTGTGGTTGCAGCCTTAGTACATAGTGTCAGTACGACAGTAGCAGCATGTACATGTAAGCACCGAATATAATAATATGTGCTTGCATGTTATTACAACATGCAAGCACAGTGTGATGTTCATACAGTACCTGTATGTTGATGGTCTACTTTCCTTCTCAGAGCGGTGCATGACTACATAATAATGCTGCTAGATCTCCTACTCAATCTCCTACGTGTAGTTTGTAGTACGTTATGCGCGTGTTCTTCACAACAGGCTTTGCTACCATTGTTTCTCTCTTGCACACTACAATGTACAATGTACTCGTATTGCCTGCACCCGCGTTCTTCCCTTCGTCATACTCCCCATACCAACCCGATGATGATCTCCTTCCAATGACTATGTGCCTGCTGAACAAGAAGCACATGTATGGTACGATGTACTGCCATTGAAATGTGTCCGGCGAGAGTATAAAAATAAACAGAGCTCGAAAGAGCCATGCGTGCATGTCGGTGTGCATTGTGCTTGGCGAGGAGATAAGGCGACGCTTCCATCCTAGTGTCCGTGCCATACCGTCACAATGTGTATCTCTCCTCGCTCGTCTGTCAACATCGACGGACACGTTACCAGAAACTAACAACATGACGATACGGTTGCGTTGCGTGACCGCACAGCCACTGTCTTGCAGCAGCGCTTTGAAGCAGCTCTGCTATCGGACACCTGTCGGAGTGTGGCAGAAGCGATAGTAAGTGATAGTTCTACTACATTGTAGTAACCAACGCTGCCAAGGTACTTGTTCCCAAAATGATGTGCTGTGCGGCTAGCAGCCACTCAACACTACAACAACAGTACATCACCCACACACTACGGGCCAGGGCTGCGCTAATATGGGCATAATCCTGGGCTATAGGATGCCCATCACCCAGTATGGCCAGACAGGTTATCCACATCGCTACACGTACATGTACAAGCATAGCGAGTGATGATACAGCAGCTACAAGTACTATACACATACATGTACATACCGGTACATGTAATGTCACAGAAGAGAACAGAGACAACCAGCTGTCATGTAAATTGAGGCATCTGTCCTGCTAATGTGTGTGTGTGTGTGTGTGTGTGTGTGTGTGTGCACGCGCGTGTGTGTATGTCTGTCTGCATGTGTGCGTGCGCCGTGTTTGTGTAAGGGGGGGGGGGGAGAGAGATAACAAAGGGCTTGTGCTGCGTATTGCTCACTGACAACAGCGTACTGTACAACCGTCAACGTGTAGCCTGAACATCAGCAGATGATTCGTGTCCTGCCAATGATAACATGATGGCCCATGCTTTGCCTGGCCTCTGAAACAGTGTTACCATGCCGGTTAAATTGTGCGTTGCGGATTAGCTCCCGGAATACACTGTACAAAAGTCATGTACTTGCAAATGTATAATGTATGGCAATACTATGGCAGTGTGCACAATCGTCATAAAGGAGGTTTATGTAGGAGTTTGTCGCAACGTCGAGTTTCTTTACGACAGTGTAAATGTACGTGATTTTGCCTTTATATTACACCTACAGTATATTTGTACAGTATACTATGTACACAATCGGAACAAAAGGAGCCGGAGAGTTTGGTGCAGCTCCGAGTTTCATTATGATAGTGTGTATTGTGCATTTGTACAGTGTACAGTGTACAGTGTACAGTGTATGTGTCCTACCAAGTACATGTACATGTACATGTACGTGTATGTAGGATAATATCACGTGTCAGTTATTGCCTTGTGTGGTCATGATGTGACTGTACTGTTGACTGATGGTGCAGCCCAATACTGGCAAATACTGTGATAGTTTCATGCCCTGACTCTGCAATGGCATACAGTAGATTGGAAGATAATGTGGCCTGGACAAGGACACAGTGATGATGGCATGTTTAGCTTGTGTGGGATTTACTCCTGGTGAAGTGATCCTACAAATGTGGTCATATCTCTATAGAGGTCACACGGTATACATGTACGTCTGATATACATGCACATGTGCATACACACACACACACACACACACACACACACACACACACACACACACACACACACACACACACACACACACACACACACACACACACACACCTACACACACACACACACACACACACACACACACACACACACACACACACACACACACCTACACACACCTACACACACACACACACACACACACACACACACACACACACACACACACACACACACACACACACACACACACACACACACACACACACACACACACACACACACACACACACACACACACACACACACACACACACACACACACACACACACACACACACACACACACACACACACACACACACACACACACACACACACACACACACACACACACACACACAGACACACACACCACACACACAGACACACACACACACGCACACACACTTGTACTTGTACTTGTTGCTCACTGCCAAAACTGGTCACGTGGGTCTCCCCGGGAGAGGGGAGAGAGACTCAAAAGGAATCTTGGAAAGATGTCTCTCAACTGGCTATTGAACCGCCCAACGGCCGACACCCCCTGAAATCCCCAAAACTCTGGGTGGACTTGAAAATGATTCCACTTACATGTATGGGCTCACCAAACCTCAGTAAGTGGGTGAGGACAAGATGCAGAAAAAGGATTGACGGCATCAGGGTATCCGTCCTGGGATCCAACTGCAGTTACCCCTGCCCCCAGTGAAGGTAATACTTGCTACTAGTGTGGGAGACTAAATCAGAGTGGATCTGATCTAAGCGTCACTAGCACAATTGATTACACAAGAGCTAATCTAGCCAGAAGCAGTCCATGGGTATACTTCAAATAGAAAGTATACGAACCCTGAAACCAACACACACACACGCACACACACACACACACACACACACACATTATATAATACACACGTACAGAGTCATCCAGTGGGTAGAAGGGGTCTGTGATATGCACATGTGCATATAACGCGACATCGTCAGTACATGACCATACATTTAGCGATCATAATAGGTATAGGTGGCTGGCATATGATTCCAGCTGGAAATGTATACCCTAACAGAACTTGTACATGTATAATACTAAACTGAAGAAGACTTATGAGTCATCATCATTAGTTTGAATGAGTTATAAAAGGGAAAAAGCAAGCGTCAGCAGAAGAAAATAGTTTGAAGCACATGTAGGCTGTCATAAGGATTTGACAATGGATCCGCGCACACCAATTACAGTAAACTAAGAAAATCAGCATCACAGCACAGAGAAGGGTTGGTGACCACACACTCTAGAGTCTAGACCCTCAAAATCAGCATCACAGCACAGAGAAGGGTTGGTGACCACACACTCTAGAGTCTAGACCCTCAAAATCAGCATCACAGTACAGAGAAGGGTTGGTGACCACACACTCTAGATCATAGAACCTTAAAACACGTAGTACTCTGTGGCTGTGTCTCTACTAGACGCTCTGCTGCCAAAGAATTAGAACAAATTCACCCAAATCTTCAACGGGACAAAAATAAAATCGTATTCGGTTTCTAGCAGGACAAAGAGGGTCTAGCACAGGCCGTGGCGGTGGAGAGAGTACGTTTCTCGGCCGGCACCCCTCGCTCTTGCCAGGTAGCTCAGCCTGCATCTGGTAGGGCATCACTGCAGAGTGCAGACACAACCAAACCCAAACAAAGCCAATTACCTGACCACTAAGCATATGTCTCTGCATCTAGTATAGCAACTTCAATGAATTATTGTGAATAGCAACTGAATAGAGCGGTTGTCAGTTGACAAACCCGCTTTCCTTTAACTTCAATATAGACTATGATACTTGCCAGATACTGTACTAGTATACATGTACATGTACAGGCCTAGTTCCTTGTGCAGGCTAAGGTTACTGGGGAGTTACGCTATTCTTCTCAAAGCTCTTTTCTTAAAAGAAAAGTACATTATCGTATCCGTTCCCGAAGGGAACTCACGACGGCCGCTAACACCCGATAAACCGCTAGGGTTTAGCTCTTTTCTAAGTACATGTACTCGCAAACTCCATTGCAGAAACTTACATGACTGTACACAGGAGGTTTCCTCAATTCAAACACTCAATCACGGTCTCTTCACTGTTGCAAAGTCAGTAAACTAAACTTCTTAGTTCTTTATAAAAAAAAGTATGTCATGTCTATAACTTATAACCTTCCAAGTTGGAGGGCTGTTGGAATGAGCATCCAATATGTGCTTAGAGCTGTTAGTACCGTCGGTCAGGGTCGTGCAATGTTATCGCATGAGCTGATTGTTTAGTAACCGGTGGTGTTAGTGGACAATAGCGTAACTTGTAGTTTCTTGGTCCTTTTTTTCTTTACTATGAATCTATATGAATTGTGCTGAATGATGATAAAGGAATGATGCAAAAATGCCTCGGACTAGCTATTTACACTACATTCCACCATAGATCTTTCTTTGTCACTACCGGTACATGTATATTACACACACTCCTTTAAGGCTGCACCCAGAGAACTTTGAAACTGAATCTGAATACTTCACATGCAGGCTAGGGACTTACACGATCAGTTTCTTGATCTTCTCACAGTCACGTGGACTGACTCTCTTGATCAAGTCAAGCAAGTCTCCGCACGTTTTTACTTCCTTTGAGCAGAAGTAGAAGAGGAGCCCTGGGACATTCTCTGGTGACTCCTCGCCATAGTTGTTCTTCCGAATGTAGCAACATATTCTATCTTTGAAGTTGTTTGGGATGTCGCCGTTTTCTGTCACCATCAAGCGAGCTAGGTGTTCTGATGCAAAAAAACAATGAGAAATATAAGAATTCGACGAGGAGACAATAATTTTAATATGGCAATAAGTAGGACGAGCTGAAGCGACATGTGGACTACTTTATTAACAATGTAAGCAATGGAGACGATGCAAGAAACAACTTAAAGGGTAAGGAAAAAATCCATGTAAGAAGAAAAAGGGCAATGGAAAAAAAAGCGGAACCGCCATTGGTGCAGCCCTCGGGTGTGCCTAAGTCTGTGCCTCTGGGTGCTTTGCATGGGGCTGTGCCTCGAGTGGTGACAGCACCTCTGCCTCCCCTGACCCTCCTCCTTCGAGGTCTGTGTTGGTGGGGAGCACCCGCGGCGGTCGATTTGTCCCACCGGAACCAGAGCTGGATTCAACAGAAAGACCAACAACCATGGCTGCAACAACAACACCAGCTTCACATCCAACAACAACACCAGGTTCACATCCAACAACAACAACTAATCCACAAAACAAAGTAGCAAATGACAGACCACGGAGATCTACAGCAGATTACAACCGGAGCTATGAATTCACGGTAAAAATACAAAGGAAACAATTGGAAAGGACGACGACTGACATGAAGGCAACGGCATTCACGGTTGGCGTGGGTGGTGAAGGTGAGACGCAGGACGATGCAAGTGAGGAGGAGAGTCAAACCGCTGTGGATGACGGAGCAGGTTCTGATTCTGACAGTGAGGGAGAAGGTGAGCTGAGTGAGGGTGGGAGTGAGTGTGAGGCTGTGCACGTGAGTCGAGATTGTGTGCGTCCGTCTCGTAATAACAAGTCTTCAGTATACAATCATTTGGTTTCTAGTACTGACTGTTGTCGTACTTATTCTGATTCCTGTTTTTCTGTTTTGTGCCGTGCTCGTCATGGTTATCTTTTGCAGTTACAAGTTTTGGAAGCTGTTTGTCAGCGCATTCATAAGCCGAATTTGTGTGTCCAGAAAGATAGTGTTATTACCCTAAAATTGTTCAAATAATGTTCTTTTGTGTAGTGTGGCAACGTTCTTGCCACTTGTGCCTAAATGTGTTTTGTCACCTTCTTGTTTATTATTGTTATTATTATCATTCGTTCTCACTCTTTTTTGTTTTTTGTTGCTGATACACACTTGTCACGCTTAGTTCTTACTTGTATACCCTTGTTTTCTGCACACTTTTGTGAGAAATCGCACCTCGATATTCCAGTGCTGTCATTGTATCGTGTCACCCTACCTTGATTGCTATATTATTTCCTTTGTTCTCATTTTGTTCTTTAGTACAACGGTGATTCCTGAAGAGTGTTGTACGAAAACTTGTTCGAATCATCTTTTTTTTCCATTGCCCTTTTTCTTCTTACATGGATTTTTTCCTTACCCTTTAGGTTGTTTCTTGCATCGTCTCCATCGCTTACATTGTTAATAAAGTAGTCCACATGTCGCTTCAGCTCGTCCTACTTATTGCCATATAGAAATATAAGAGAATACACAGTATCATTAGTCGAATCGAAACCCGAGAAATCAGAACCACTATTCTTTCTCTGTTACCAGCCACTGGAATACCAAACTAGTTAGAATCAGATGGTGAGCCAATTAAATTATCGTGAAGAGAAGAAGGACAAAATGTTACGAGTTATGACTAACTGTCCACCAACGTAACCAGATCGTATACAGTCAGCGAGTGCGACAAAAGGGCACAAAACTGACAAGGAGTACTGAGCTTTCCGTCCCCTCTTGGACCTTTCCGAACCTGAGCCTTCCAAGTTGGAAGGTTGTTGGTTTGCGCCTTGGAGAAGTGTTGGAGCTAGGTGTCAGGTCGCCGAATGTCTCAGTATTCCTTGTCAGTTTTGTGCCATTTTGTCGCACTCGCTGACTGTATAAGATCTGGTTACGTTGGTGGACAGTTAGTCATAACTCGTAACATTTTGTCCTTCTTCTTTTCACAATAGGAAGAATCATTTTTTCATTGTTCTTTCTGCCTACAGGTACTTCTCTTTACTTTTTTTATTGTCGCAGTTTGGCATCGTTTCCATCGCTTGACAAAGTAGCGATTTCGGTGGTAAATGAAGTTGGTTTTTCCTACATGGAACACATGCTTCCTGCCAAACTTGAAACCTGACTGACTCACGACTGCCATCCGGAGCACACGAGGGGCCTATCGCACCTTGCACTGAGCAAATCTGTAGGAAAGCGCCACTCCCTGCTCAATACACAGTCCCTGTCTGGAACACCTCACCGTATCCCTGGCGATGGTTTGGCCTGGAGAGCATTATAATATTATAAGTGGTGCTCTTCAGGCACAATCTTCCTCAGAATACTCAAGCTAAACTGATAAGGGCTGAATTACACTGTGTATTGAGCAGGGAGTCACGGGTAATTTCTTGCAGGTTTGGCGAGTCGTTTTTTGGCGAGTTTGGGGGATGAGCCAGTCCAGCGTCAAGTTTGGCAGGAAGCGTGTGTTCCAAGTAAGAAGAACCAACTTCGTTCTCGAAATTTGTCCGTAAATACCAACACAGTCACGTACCATACATAAACTCTTCACTTCTCCAACTCAAGGGCCTCTTCACTGCGAATCGCTTTACAATCCACTAAATTTGAACGGACCATCATTAGACGGTTAGAGAAATGATACAATCATGTATTACAGGTGCATATAACGGGGGGTTATATACTCTTGGTGCAACCATACTTACCGCATTGCACCCGATTGAGAAACTTGTGGATCTCATCACCCAGCTCGAAGAAGTCCTTGATGTCATTGAGTGGTCTGTCCGAGGTGCTCGAGGTGCTCACCCTGAAATCATCACAGAACATAGTAGCAGGTACGACATTGTACAATAATTATGCTTTCTGTGCAGAGATCATTGTATGGTCATTATACATGTAGCTCCTAGCGGACTTGCCTGTAAAAATCTCATGGAATCACATTGCTCAATATTATTATACAAGCACCAGCACAACTATAGTATTAGTAATAGTAGTATTTTTACTAGGGCAATCCCCACAGACTGTGAGTCGTTTTACAGGGTACCCTAGGTAAGTGCGTGAAATAGAGCTGAATGAAGAAAGCCGTAAGTGCGTGAAATAGAGTAAAGAAAAAGAAAACGGTGGCTGCATACTATGCCAACAGTAGACCTCTGATACCACGTATCCCCTTGGGGAGTGGAAAAAAGTACGTACTGTCCAAGGTACTTCTTCTTATCCAAAGAAGTAACAGGTTTAGTTCAGTCCTGCGGCCCCAAAAATACGATACATGTGCAGTATGTCAAAATGCTCGAACTTGATTATCAATTATTTTATTGCTCTCGTGGTTACACTAAACCAGATTGCCTAGCGCCTGCGCTGAGCGCTGCAAAAAGCCTCCTCCTTACTGTCAACCAGGGAGTCGTTTATTCTTCGTTTATACGACTCCCTGTTGTCAACATACCTACGTAATTGTATACTAAAGAGTCGAGACGTACATGTAGTCATGTACACTCATGAACCTGTCAGTGCTGTCACGCGAACCTGCCATGCCTAAGTAATTAGTTACATTAGGTTATCAGGGAGTGTCAAATACCGGTATTTGACGACTCCCTGGCTGTCATGATTCCGGGGAGATAAGTGCATAAAAGGAAATGAATGAATGCAATGCGAGTGTAGGTCTACTACTGTACTAGCAACTAATGTCCTGAAGCAGCAGCACGCATGCACAGACTTACCTTCCTCTGTCAATGCAGCTAGCGTCTGTACGACAAGGACGATCCCCAGCTTTGACCGTGTGCCTTTGTCCCAACGGGCCCAAGGCAGATGATTGATTGCCTGCTGTGAAGCGCTCGAGCTGATTGACCGAGCCCGAGGCAAGCAATACTGTAGCAATCAGAGCAAAGGCCAGCACCAAGCAGCTCCGCCTTTGCTCGTCCATGGCTTCGTTTGCTGCTCGCCTGACGTCACGGCAACGGCAGTGTACGTGTACATGGCTTGGTTGGCAATCCTCCGTGCTGGAGATGAGCACGGACGTGCTAGGGTCCCTGAGACTCGTCACCCACACTTCTTGCTCATGTGGTGGAATTCTCGCAATTTCCTGCACAATCCTGCTGATTTGACGGAGTGAGGCATCGTAGGGCACTGGAGGCAGGAAACAGCTGGTTCCGGGGATAGCAGTCGAGCTCCTTCCGCCGCTGCCGATTGCGGATGAAGAAGAGGGTTCGGAGGTACATGTTGGCCTGCGAGTAGCTTGTAGGCTGGCGTGCTTCTTGTCCTGTTGATCACTTGCGTTCAGGTATTGGGCTGTCACCTTTCCAAGTGGAATTAACAGTAGGGGGTGCTCTGAAGGGGTTGGAGCGGATCTGGTCACCTCAGATGTATCGTCAGGGCGGCATGGCACCGGTGCGTCTGGTGAGTTGTCGCTATAATACTTGGTGGAACTGTTCGCGCCACGGTTGTGCTCAAACTCTTGAAGAGCGAGAGAAGACCCGATCTTCTGCTGCCGTTTCTTCTGCTTGTCTGCTGCCGCCAACTTTGATCCAACCTCGCCATCACAGTCGCTATCGCCGTGGATCGTTCTGGTTCCTCTGGCGACGTCTTCTGGAAACTCTACCTGTGCCCTTAGTTCCTCCTTTCCGGCCTGGAAAATCTGCTTTCTGCTGGAGGGATCCCACATGGCTTTCTGGAGGGGAGCTGTGATGGGAGCGAGATGTTCACGCCCTGGACGTTTTGAGTACTGCTCGCCTTTGGATTTGCCCACATCATGAACACGGAGGGCTGCATGCTTTGGGCTTTCAGCAGATATAGACGCAGCCTTCAGGTAGGTGCACTCGTTGGTCTTCCGCAGTTTCGGTGAACTTGCCGCTTCGAGCGACTTCATGTAGAGGGTTGAGCTACCGGAGATATTGTAATCGCTCAGTGTTCGGTCTCCTTCAAGTCGCCTTCCGCCGAAGTACAGATGCCGATATTTCGGTAGGAGACCCAGCTCGTCGCAAAGCTTAGCCTTGACTTTACTGACCGTGTCAAGTGGTTCGGCGTTCAGCGCTAAGCGTTCATCGGTCTCAGCGTCTTGTACATGAACGGTCATGGTACCTACAAAGCGGACGATCAAGTACAGCGTTGACCCAGGCTCAATACTGTATTCACTCAGAGGATGAGAATCGATGAGCTGAGCTCCAGCGAAAATTAGGTGCTGGTGGTTAAGTGGAATTTCCAACTTGCTGCGGATCTGCTTCTTCACACTCCGAATGGTGTCTTTCGAATCTACCGTCAGTCTCGCTGCTTCACCTGATAAAGGTTTCACAAACAAGCACATATCATGAGAGAGCCTTAGTGCGGCGTTGTCGAATGGGATTTTATCATCGTACAGTACATGTTTGAGATCTCCATTGGGCGGTCGGCCTGAAACTTGGGCATGCTGTCGACCATTTTTGGCAAGAGCTTTTGGACCAAGCCTTTCAGCAAGACTCACATCATCATGATGATCAACACGATCGTTCCCCTCTGCGGGGCCTGGACAGAGAGCTTTGCCAGCTTCCTGTGCTTGCTGTCCATTGAGCGCGTCCACAGAGTCTTGAAGGGGCAGGATCAATTGCATGCTGGACTTCTCTACGTCACGAGTCCCAGACCAGGTCGGTCAATCCTCAATTCATGAAATAACTGGTTGCCTAGTGTGAAGATCAAGGGATGTTGCTGGAGGACCGGAATAATTAATTCCCTCGACAAGCTGGACGTTTATTGATCTGGCTTATGAATATGGTATGGCACGGTTCTCCACTTAGTGAAGTGACTTCATCCGCATTTGCTGGTCGCCACGCAGATCTGTATGATCAATCCGCCTTTCGGAGGCTGCTCGCAGTGACTCACCGGGAATTAAGCGATTACAATCTTTCCAGCTCTCTCCTTCCACCTTCGAGTGGCTCAGTCGTTGTGTTTTAGCAGGCTATTTATACAGGACGTCTGAAAGACAATAATTGTGCATGGCTAGTTACAGCGGTTGCTCTCTACACTGCGTCTAGAAACTTGTTTATGTACTTTCCTTGCCCCGCGCCCGCGCTTTGATGTACATGTACATGTGCGCGTGCAAGTGCTGTGCTGACCGCGTGCTTTGTATGCAGTGTGCTGGTCACAGCTTCCCGTCCTCGGTTTGTATGAATAATGCTATGACTGACCAATGGAAGACATGCCGTCCCCCATGCCATATAATACATGTACACCAATTTTGTTCCAGTTGTCCCAGCAAGCGCGGGCATCGTGGATTCATTGCTCTACACGGAAATCTCCTCGTCCGAAAAGTCAGACACAAATTATCAGTTTTCCTGTCCAGCTCTAGATCCTGTCAACCACAGTCACATGGCTTTCGTGTTTGGCATACGCGACTGTCAATCATCATGTCAGAGAGTCACGAGTCAATCGCGTGCCGAGAAACATTTCTGACAAGTGTACAATCATAGTCAAGTCACTCATCGTAGCTAACTACTGTGTGAGTGTGTGGTCCTAGCGATTCAGCACATTCGTGGTTAAAAAAACGCGATGGCTGTCAGAGCACGTAGGATGGTGGAAATAATTCCACTTCTCTCCTTCGAGAAAGATCGATGTGATTAGTATGAGGCAGGATGACCGCGAGCCAATGGTACATGCCCTAAACCACAAGGGTTCAACCTCTCAATCTCGAGCAGTCAGGCAACTCAAGCCGAGAGGTAGTCGGTCATACATGTAAATGCAGAAGCAGCAGTGGTGGTGCATGGTTGTTGTTGTGTTTATTTTAATTCACGTTTCAAACGGGCTAGTATGCCCAATTACAGGAATGCGAATACCAGAGAGAGATAAGGAAGAATAGAAGATGAGCAATAGGGCTACAGCGGAGAGAGCGCATGTTTTGAGGAAATCAAAAATGAACACTGGTGGTCAAGCGTATGCCGTATGGGGTTGGCAGCCAGTTTAAACTGGGTCAGGCATTGGGCACCACGAACAGCTGCAGACAGCGAGTTCCATTCAGTTGCGGCAGCGAAGCCAAACCGAGTTGTGCCAGAACGAGTCCAAGATTGCGGCAGTTGAATGCCACGCCCCGGCTACCTGAGTTTAAGCATGCATGTGTACCATACGCCTGTAGGGAGTACAGTGTAGTTCGAGTTGCTGCTGATCGCTCTGCTCTCCCTCCCCGTGCAGTTCAGTAATCCTCGCGTAGTATCACAGACACATCGTATTCTCTCTCTCCCCCCGTTTACTCGCAGTTATTAGTATCCTATTCCCTTACTATGTGCTTCCCTAGCTTTTACTATGTCCTTCCACAGCCACTTCTAGGCTAAGCCTTCGCCGTCATTTTATTTAATATTGGGTCGTCATCTCGTTTGAATGTGCGAAGTGAAATAAAAACCAACCAACCAACCATCACTGCGCGGGCAGCACAGTTCTGGAGTTTCGGCGACCGATCCGCCTGTTGGGCTGTAAGGCAGAATTAGTAGCAGTTTGAGCCGTATAGCATCATGGTAGTGTGTCTGGAGCATCTCCGTCGATACGAGCTGAGGTCTAGACTTGTCACTTCACGGATATAATAGTGATACATGTACTGACATGATACGTACTGCATCATCGCGTAGATCTGTGGAAAACGTTTCGCGCCACAGTAGACCCCACAAATCAGCTAGCTAGCTACAAAAGTGTAGCTCAAATCAGCTTTTTCATCGCGACGGGCGAAATGAATGAATCGGGCTTCGACTTTTTTTAAAGTTCAAGTCCCACACTCCACAGTAGAAAAAGACTGGACCGGGCAGAGTGCGGTAGAGCATCAGGACGGCAGGAGGCGAGACTCAGGAGCCAAACACGCAGATAGCCAAGGACCACACGAGAACAGAGAAAGTAAATGCAGAAACCTGAGCCTGTATGATAATAATTTTATGGCAGTCGCCACAGCTACACCAGCACACCACTGCGAGGGAGAAAACCGAGTGCTTTGCCCAATACTTTGCCACCAAGTGCAGCCTCGGCTCCAACCGGATCTCTCTGCCTCTGACCAGCTCTTTTCTATGCAACTTGATGCCTCGGCACATCAGATCACAGCCATCCACTTTCGTCCAGCCAATGTCCGTCGTCAACTAGCAGCGCTGAATCCGCACAAGGCCACTGGCACCGACAGCATATCAGCTAGAGTCCTCAAGGAATGCCACAGAGAGCAGGCAAAGCCTGCTGCTCGCTTGTTCTCTTGCTGCTTCAGAGCAGGGGTCCAGACAGCTTCCCGGAAACTAGCCCACGTGTCCCCATACACAAGAAGTCGGCCAAGTCAATAATAATTATTGTTTCGAACGCATACCCTGCAGCTGAATCCCAGGACGGATACCCTGATGCCGTCAATCCTTTTTCTACACATCCACACACACACACACACACACACACACACACACACACACACACACACACACACACACACACACACACACACACACACACACCACCCCCCCCCCCCCCACACACACACACACACATACACACACAGTGACACACACACACACACACACACACACACACACACACACACACACACACACACACACACACACACACACACACACACACACACACACACACACACACACACACACATACACACACACACACACACACACACATACATACAGAGTCAAACAGTGGGCAGAAAGGCTCTGTGGTATGCACATGTGCATATAACGCTACATGACCATAAATTTAGCAATCATAATAGGTATAGGTGGCTGGCATATGATTCCAGCTGGAAATGTACACATATACCCTAACCGAACTTTTATCCACTAAACTGAAGAAGATTTATGGGACATCCTCATTAGTTTGAATGAGTTATAAAAGGGAAAAAGCAAACGTGAGCAGAAGAAAATAGACTATCATAAGGATTTGACAATGGATCCGCGCATACCAATTACAGTAAACACTACAGCACCTAAACTACAAAGAAAATCAGCATCACAGCACAGAGAAGGGTTGGTGACCACACACTCTAGACCCTAGAACCTTAAAACACGTAGTACTCTGTGGCTGTGTCTCTACTAGACGCTCTGCTACCAAAGAATTAGAACAAATTCACCAAAATCTTCAACGGGACAAAAAAAGAATGACATTCGGTTTCTAGCAGATACGTAAACCAAAGATGATTGATGGGAGAAATGGCAATTTGCTCGTGTACGTGCCACCAATCTGCAGAGTTCTGACAAGAGTGCCTAGATTCAGCTGTTTGAGGACTAGATTCCACTACTGTACATAAGCACTCTTCTCAGGCTTACAATCAGTCATAACGTGATGCACATGGACTCAAATACTGCTAATGATACTTCGAAGTAGATACGTGTTCACATACTGCATGATGTCAGCTCAATGGTAATGCCAGCCACTCACCGATGATTCATTGAACAGTCCTGCTGTGCAACGACCCAGGGCAAAGAGGGTCTAGAACACGCTGCGGTCGTGGAGAGAGTACTGTTCTTGGCCGGCACCCTTCGCTCTTGCCAACAGCTCAGTCTGCATCTGGTAGGGCATCACTGCAGATACAAGGAAACCCACACCGCCAAAGCAAATAAACTCCTTACCACTGTGTCTAAGAATAGCATTTCTCTTCATTTTCCATTTTTAAAGCAACTTCAATATAGACCATTATGCCTGGCAGATAAACATGCCTAGTTCTTCTTACAGGCTAACGTTACAGGGAAGCTATGCTCTTCTTCATAGTTCTTTTCTAAGTACTTGCAAACTCCATTGCAGCCATTTACACCTAATGTTTCAAGTCCTCTGAATTCGAACACTCAATCGTGGTCTCTTCGCTGCAAACTTCTTAGTTCTTCTTCTTATTGTTATTATTGGCAAGTTCATGCTGGCTGAGTTGGGCCCCAGCTTGGCGTATGCTGAATGACAAACCACGAAGGCTTTGTTGAAATTGCCACACACAAAATATATTGCAGAAAAGGTAATGCGCACAGAAAGTACCATGGTGGAAATAAAATTAATGTGCTGAATGATAATAAAGGAATGATGAAGAAATCCCTTGAACTAGCGTTTGCACAACATTCACCGCAGTTCTTTCTTTGTCACTATGGTTGAATACATCATACACCGTTGCCAAAGCCTGGGAAAATACTCCAAAGTTAATAATATTAATCAAGAAGTCTCTACTGGACCTCTTCTTGGAACGTTCTGGGACCCAAGGCGAAACCAGGGAATCGCTTGACTCTCACTAAAACCTATTTGGTGAAAGCAAAGCTGCACCTGAAGACACTTGTTACTGCGTCCCATGGGATGTTCATCAATAACTTTACCAATAATTATAAAATATTCTTGAGGTCACATGCAGCTAGGCACTTACATGATCAGTTTCTTGATCTTTTCACAGTCACCTGGATTGACTTTCTTGATCAAGTCAAGCAAGTCTCCGCACGTTTTTACTTCCTTTGAGCAGAAGTAAAAGAGGAGCCCTGGGACATTCTCTGGTGACTCCTCACCATACTTGTTCTTCCGAATGTAGCGACATATTGTATCAGTGAAGTTGTTTGAGTTGTCACCGTTTTTTGTCACCATCCCGCGAGCGAGGTCTCCTGGTGGGGGGAAAAATGGTAGAGAATACACACTATCGTTAGTCGAGTCGAAACCCGAGAAATCAGAACCACTATTCGTTCTCTGTTGTCAATCACTGGAACACCAAAGGAGTCACATCTGACGATTTCTGATATAGTTTTTAAAAAAACACTTGCCATACATGCACATACCATGTGTAGTTAAGACACTTGCAGCTTCCATGAGATCGCCTTTATAATTATTGCATGTATGGATTACAGGATAAACTAATACTTAACTAAATTCAAGTAGAAAGGAAAAGGACATATGGAAACGAGTTAAGAGTAACTCTCCACCACTGTAACTAGATACTATATACAGTCACTTCATTATGTCCTTTTCCTTTCTACTTTTATTATTGGCTCAGTACCCGAGTTTTAAATTCAAGTAAATTGTCCATAACTCCAACACAGTAACTTTCTACGCATAAACTCTTCACTTCTCCAACTCCAATAAAGGAGTCTCTTTGCTGCGAATCACTTTACATTGGCTTTTGGACGTTACTTTATCGCCATCATAATAGTGGGCATCATTGCCCGTTTGGTCTGCGATACAAAATAAAATCTCATCAACAACAACAACAACAACAACAACAACAACAACAACAACAACAACAACAACAACAACAACAACAACAACAACAACAACAACAACAACAACAACAACAACAACAACAACAACAACAATCTCTTACAACAACAACAACAACAATCTCTTATTGGAGATGGTGCCATCGTGAGAATAAAGAATTCAAATTCAACAACAACAACAACAACAACAACAACAACAACAACAACAACAACAACAACAACAACAACAACAACAACAACAACAACAACAACAACAACAACAACAACAACAACAACAACAACAACAACAACAACAACAACAACAACAACAACAACAACAACAACAACAACAACAACAACAACAACAACAACAACAACAACAACAACAACAACAACAACAACAACAACAACAACAACAACAACAACAACAACAACAACAACAACAACAACAACAACAACAACAACAACGACAACAACATTCCACCAAATTTGAAGAGACCGTTTCTGGGGTTGTAGAAGTGGTGAAAGAGTATCTACATGTATTACAGATGAAAGCATACTAACCGCACTGCACTCGATTGAGAAACTTGCGGATCTCTTCACCCAGCTCGAAGAAGTCCGGGATGTCATTGAGTGGTCTGTCCACGGTGCTCACCCTGAAATCATCACAGAACATACATGTATGGCATGCATGTAAGTTCTGTGCATAGATCATTGCAAGGTCATTATAGCTCCTAGCGGACTAGGAGTGAAAAATCCCATGGAATCTCACACATTGCTGGATATCAAACCAAGAGCACGGTCATAACTTAAGCTTACTCTTGATCATACATGTACCAGTACAACTACTGTAGTGTCGCGTATAAAAGCATGACCTGTATAGAAGCAGGACTCGAATAGAAGCCGATTTTTTAAAGCGAGCTGTAACACAGAAGCATGGCTTGAATAGAAGCCGCTCCCTGTAAAGTACATGTGCGAGTACGTGCGTGGCAGTATGCACTGCACAGTGTAGACTGATGATATTGACGTAGAAGCATGTTTTGAATAGAAGCATAACTTGAATAGAAGCATGGTTCGAACCCCGGCTTATACGGCCGTAAGCACCTGCTTTCATATGCGACATTACGAGTATTCTAAGATCAGGTGACACGACCTGCGCAGCCGCCACGCGCATTTTTCCATTGTCGTCATGATCCCGGGGAGACAAATCCATTATTTTGATTTACAACTATCTGTATAGAATAAGAAATGAACACAATACGAGTGTACTTGTATAGTGTACAGTCATACCTCGCTTATCCGGTCCTCTTTATCCGGATCCCTCACCATCCGGAAGAAAATGGCTGGCTGCCGATTTACAGCATATGGCATGCATACGTACAATATGTGTGATTATCCTGTTCCCTCGCCTATCCGGATTTTTTTGTGGAAAACGGATGTGTGCGGTTAAGCGAGGTCTGACTGTACTATCACGCCGTGAAGCAGCAGCTCACAGACTTACCTTCCTCTGTCAGTACGGCTAGGACGATCCCCAACTTTGACCGTGTGCCTTTGGCCCAAGGCTGATGATTGCTGGTTTGCTGCGGCCAAGCCCTCGAGCTGATTAACTGCGCCAGAGGCAAGTAATGCTGTGCAAAGCAGCGCGAAGGCTAGCGCCAAGCTTCTCCACCCTTGTTCGACTTCGTGTTCTTGCGCACAGCTGCTCTCACGACAATCACAGTGTGCATGGCTTGGCAGACAATCCTCCATAGTGGAGATGAGCACGGACGTTCCAGGGTCCCTACGACTGGTCACCCACACGTCTTGTTCATGTCGTGGAATTCTCGTCGTTTCCTGCACCATCCAGCTGAGTTGGCGGAGTGAGGCATCCCAGTGCACTGGGATCGGGCAGCAGCTGGCTCCGGGGCTAGCTGTCGAGTTACCCCCGCCACTGCCAATTCCGGATGAAGAAGAGGGTTCGGAGGCAGGTCTTCGAGTACGCTTCCTGTGCTGACGATCACTTTCGTTCAGGTGTTGTACTGTCCACTTTCCAGGTGGAATTAACAGTAGAGGACGTTCTGAAGGGGTTGGAGTGGATCTAGCCGCCTGCGATGTAATGTCAGGGCTGCGTGTCACCGGCGCATTATCGGTAGAGTCCTCGCTAGAATGATTGATGGCACTGTTTGGGCCACGGTTGCTCTCAGACTCAGCTTTCTGATGTACAAGCGAAGACCCGAAGTTCTGCTGCTGTTTTTTCTGTTTGTTTGTTGCAACCAATTTTGCTCCAGCATTGGCATCGCAGTGGCTACCACGGTTGACCGTTCTTGTTCCTCTGGTGGCTTGCTCTGTTCCTCTGGCGGCGTTCTCCGCAAGCGCCGGCTGTGCCCTTTGCTCCTCTTTTCTGGGCCGGATAATCTGCTTTCTGGTGGCGGGGTCTGGCACGGCTTTCTGGAGGAGCGCTGTGCAGGGAGCGAGCGGTTTACGCTCTGAACGGTTCGCGCACTGCTGGACTTTGGTCTTGACGTCATCATGAGAACGAAGGGACGCATTTTTTGGACGTTCAGTAGATATGGCCGCATCCCTCGGGTAGGTGACCTCATTGACCGGCCACAGTTCCGCGGACCTCGCCGCTTCGAGGGACTTCATGCGGAGGGTGGAGCAACCGGAGATATTGTAATCGCTCAGTGTTCGATCTCCGTCAAGTTGCTTTCCGGCCAAGTACAGGTGATGAAGCTTCGGTGGAAGACCCAGCTCGTTGCAAAGCCTGACCTTGACGCTGTCGACAGTGTCCAGTGGCTCGGTGCTCAGCGTTAACCGTTCGCCGGTCTCGGCGGCCTGTACATGCACGCTCATGGTGCCTACAAGGCGGACGATCAAGTGCAGTGTCGACTCAGCCGTAATATTATATTCACTCAGCGCTTCAGTATCGATGAGTTGAGTTCCTGCGGAAATCAGACGCTGCTGGTCAGGAGGAACTCCCAACTTATGTTGGATCTTCATCTTGACACTTCGAATGGTGTCTTTCGAATCTACGGTCAGTCTTGCTGCTTCCCCGGTTAAAGGTTTCACAAACAAACTAATCTGATGAGAGGGCCGAAGAACGCAGTTGTCGTGCGGTGTTTTGTGCTTGTCCTGGCACGGTTTGAGCTCACCATTGGGTGTTTGGTCTGAAAACTGGAGACGCTGTGGACCGCTGTTGGCAAGAGCTTTCCGACTATCCTTTTCAGCGAGACCAGCATTACCAAAATTATCATCATTCCACCCTGGGTCTGGACGGAGAGAGCTACCGGTCCGTGATTGCTGTCCGCTGGGCACGTCCACAGAGTCTTGAAGGTGCATAATCAATTGCATCCTGGCCTGCTCTACAGCAGCGTCGCACGTTCTCAACGTCTGGCTATCCTCCAGTGGGTTGCCTAGCGTGGAGAAGAAATGCTGCTGGCGGACTGGAATTCCCTCGCGAAACTGGATGCGTGCCTTGATCTGGCTTATGGTATCGCCCGGTTCTCCGCGTAGGGAAATGATTCTATCCGCATTGCTGGTCGTCACGCATATCTGTATTGCGTTGGCCATGGAGTGTAGTGTGGCGCCGTGCTGGATATCGTAGTGTCGAAGTGAACTCGTGTCGCTAGTGAGCAGGACGCCTTCATAGTACAGCCACTGTGAGTGTCCCGGAATGCCGGCTTTGGTGTGGATTAGCTCCTTCACGTCGCCAATGGTGCTGGTGGGCGTCATCTTCATGGCGATCTCGTCACCGTTTGCAATCTCCACCACTATCTCTATCATGGCGTCGGGGCTACGGCAGAGCGATGGAACACCCGCCATTGACTCCGATGCGGGCTCGAAATCGCTCTGCCCCGATCCGAGATCTTGTTGCACTTGGTCTGCCTGTGAGCACCCACTGCCGCCTTGCTCTTCCATTTTCTATGAAGTCTCTGCTTTCTGGTGGATAACCAGCCCCTGGACTATCATTCAAAGTGCAACTGGTGCGCGATCTATCTGCAGCACAGGGTGCTAGTACGCAAGCTCCGCCTGTTTGTTTCGAGGCGTGCTTGTGTTGAATCTTTATAGGAGTTGAATGATGACTGTCTTTCCAACTCTCTCCTTCCAGCTTCGAGTCGTTGTGTCCTCAGGTTAGTGATACAGGACTTCTGAAAGACAACGTTGTGTTGGTTGACCTAAGAGTTGGCCCTTTTGCACTGCACTGAGTAAAGTAAACCCGAGTTTCGAAACTTTCCTTGCCAGAGTCTTCAAGTGCATGTAGGCATGCAGGTGTGGTACTGCTCGTGTGTTACTTGTGTAGCGCGTATGATCACAACTGCCATGTCTCTTCTCAGTTTGTGTGATGAGAATCATGAGATACGATTGAACAATGGCGTTACCCCCCCCCCCCCCCACACACACACACACAGTGCAATGCCGTAACATCACTTCGTTCCAGTTTTCCCAGTAAGCGCGGGTATCGCGGACTCACCGTTCCACAACCAGGAATTTCCCTTATCTACCTGGTCAAAGTACATCACTCGAAAGATATACCAGCCCTCTAGTTCCCTGTCCCTTTCTGTCAACTACAGTCACAGCGCTAATAACATTGCGTATTTGCCTTGAAGCCGGCTGGCCGGCTGTCAATTTTGACGGATCATGTCAGATCAGGGAGCCACGAGTCAGTCGCGTGCAGGGAAATCCAATTAATTATTTGGAGGACTGTATTCCATTTTCTTATGAGACGAACTGCAGTGGTTTCCCTGGTCATAACCGTGGATGACTCTACAATGTTTGCATACCGGTACCAGCATACATGTACAGCTTACTAATACTAGTCTGCAGTCCGAAAGGGCAGAGTTAGAGGCTGCATCGCGATCTAGTGACCTCGGACTAGAACTACAGTAGCGGGGACCTACATGATTGTACTGTCGTGGACATGGAAATCCGGTCGAATGCTCTCAGTGTAGGTCTCGATGAGGTGCAGGGAAGTGTCACGATCTGTACGTGGATGCCCACAGTTTCTTCAGCCTTCACTCGTCAGACTAGACTGGGGTCTACGCGGTCAGAGAGTTGCGGGCAACACTCACACAATCATAAATCTGTACTCTCTTGTACCATCATCCTTCAATGCGACGGACCCCACGATAGGCGGTCAGCCTTTGCCTTTGGGTTATCCTAATAAAGTTTTTTATTATTATTATAAGGCCTCTTTTACGGGCAGCCCTTTCCCAAAGATGCTCGCCACTTTTTTCGCAACTTTTCGTTATTTAGGTAGAAATCGCAACCTTCGCAACTTTCGCAACTTTTTCTTCATATTCGCGAACTATTCAGTCGCAACTTTTCCGCAACCTTAGCGCAATTGGCGCCATAGCATGGGGTCAAACGGTCAAGTCACCGACTCACCGACTTCATGTCGGACAAATGCAAACTCGTACTCGCTCATTTCTCGCCTGCCTTCAGACTGATTTCAGAGAAACAGTAGATCAACGGTAGTTGTGATAATGTCACATTGTGCACTGAAGTAATAGTTCCCTTTTCCTTGCACTAGAATGATGTACATGTACATGTAGGATACATGCAACAGGCTACTGGCACTGTGTAAAGTGGTGGTTCACCGCAGGAGGGGGTGTAGATCTACATCGATTGTGACGAGTTTGCTGTCGATGCACCGTAAGTTCTGCTATTTCTACTCCCTTTTGTGTAGTTTTTTGCACTAGAACTCTTCTTTTTATAGGTTGTGATATTAGCAACTTTTGAGCTTTTTCTGAAAATATGGATGCGATTTCAGCAACTAGCACTTGTTTTGGCACGGTTGCGAAAAGCATAAGTTGCGAAAAATTATGGCATCTTTGGGAAAGGGCTAAACTGTAAACAGAATACAATTGACAGTGGCATGGCGAATGATTAGAACACAACACCAAAAAATGAAAACAATTGTATGTGTGAAAAAAACGCAAAAAAACGAGAAAAAAACCCAAAAACACCAAAAAAAACAGGAAAATACAAGGGCACTGTCCTGCCCACCATCGTCTCCAAAACCTCACAGCCGGCCCTCCGAGATTGCCAACTCTCGCAATGCATTCACAGGACGGTGATATGACGATCGGGCACCGCGGATGCACATGATCGCCGACCGCAACAATGCAAACGCCAGTCGACACCGGATATATGTTATTATTAGGGATATCACCGTATTTTTTTCTTTCGTAGTAAACCAAGAAAACTGTTTGTTTTCGGGAAGAACTACAGTACAGGAGATAGCACAGAAAATTTGGATGAAAAATCTTGAAGGATACCAGAGATATGAGGCGTCAAAGTCATACGCCAACCTTCATCATGATGTATGCGGAATGCCATACTGCTGTGGCACCAACAGGGTTTTCCGGAAAGCCTAGCAAATGCTTAGCAACAGTACAATATTGTCAGAATGATATGAAATCTGGCTTGTAGGTGCAATATAGGTGTAATATAGGTGCAATACAGGTTGGTTAGTCCTAATATTGACCAAAATATAATATTTCGGCAAGCGATGACCAATGAGAACGAGCATGGCGCCCGTAGCAACCACCATAGCAACAATGCTAAATCCATTGAACACGAGTTCCACTACTATGAAATTGAAGTGAGCACTGGTGGCTATGGTTGTATAGTATACATGTACACAATTTGTAAATACAGCAGTTTGGTCTTCAGATGCCCAACTTTACTGGGCTGTCACACAGTTGATCAATCATGTACATGTACATGTACATTTTACATGTAAAATGTACAATAGTGAAATATGCGTACAATCCAATCACTGACGCGATCCATGTCAGAGCACCACTCCATAGCAATTTCTTTCTGGTTTCAAGGCGACGAGTCGAATACAAAATCATAGCTCACTTTGTCGCAATAGCGAAAGTCTCCGTCAGGTGCAATCTTTCACTAGGGCCAACAAATCATCTGAAACACTCCTAGCGCTTGAACATATTGGGTCCAGAAATTCATTCATTTCGGGCGACCAGGAGGTGAAAGTCTTGAAAGCGCGATGAAGAGCGATCCCCCAGCTCGAGAAGAAAGCACTATTCTACATAATTCGAGGTCGCTGAACACGATGGTGGGTGTTTCCTGGCCGTGTACTCCCTCCAAACGGATGAAAAATCCAATTGAAAACTACACTCCTCACAACAAAAAGCTCAAACTACAGTTGCCCAAGCAAGTGCGGCACCAAAACGAGCAGGAAGACCTCAGCTATCAAACGCACCAACTTTCAACTTTGAAAAAGAAAGCAGGACAAAGCAATTCGACAAAAACTGCAGCGAAGTCCATGGTGCCACCGCTACCATGCTAATGTACGTGACCCGCGTGAAGGCTGTTTTCAGCTGATTTGTCACGTGACTGAACTCCCTATTATTATACATACTAGTCAGAACAACAGATGGCTTGATCAGTCACAACTTAAAGTTTCATGCCATCTCAGGCACTCATCAGGTGATATGAACATCAAGAAAAATAACCCACTATTTAAAGCCCAGTATGGCGGGACAAGGATAACAGAAAGCGCTAGGGGCGCTATCAACTCATATCCGATTCAGTGTCATAGCCAGTAAGGATCGCGGTACTAAGGTGATAAAGGATAAAGGTGATAAAACTGAGCTGGCCTAGCTAGTGAGTTCCGCGGTGCAAAGATGATGATGGTGACAAGGCGGCAGAGAGCTATCAACTGGCCATACTGCCTGGAGGCAGGGTGCCGAGAAGATCATGTTATCGGTGTTGACAGCATGAATTTATTTTGATGTCGACATTTGGATATCAACTCCGACCGCTTGTTGAGGCTCGTTCTCCTGTCGGCAGTGATTACTCTCGCCTTCTCCTCGAGGCACAGGCTGCATCTTTTTGTTATATTGCTGTAGGCCTTGGCCTTCTGGACCACTCGCCACTTGATGTCGTGCGTCTTGCCATTATCTTTTAATTCCCACACATGCTTTGAGAGGCCCGTGGATTTGCGGTATCCAGGAAGCTTGATGGATGTCTTGTGGTTCCCGTATCGAAGCTTGAATGGAGGCTCCGTACTGCCAATGTAGGTTTTGGGCCCATCGCTGTGGCCATCACTCGACACCTCCGCCGCGTAGACTATGCTGGTTGCTTGGCACGCTCCGTTGAGAGGGCACTGGTCCTTGCGACGGCAGTTGCACGGCTTGTCCGGTTCCTGGACGTACAATTGACGCTTATTGTGGCCACTGATAATGTGGGCCATATTCGGCAAACAGGAGTAGCTCACCTTCACATTGAAGCGGTTGAAGATTTTGTTCATTTTGGACCCCTTAGGAAAATGCTTGTCGATCAGCCGGAGGAAGGTGCCGGCGATGTTGGTCCGGACACTCTTGGAGTATGGCGGGTTAAACCACACCACATTCCGTTTCCTTTTTCTTTTTTGCTTGCTGCCGTTCATTGCAGCAGGGGGCGTTGGGTCAATGTACTTGATGTTGGCAGGTAATCCGCTGGCCGCTAATGCATTGCGATATGCAGGGGCAGCATCGGCGAATACGCCGCTGTCGGCAGATATGCTTGAGACACGTCGAGCGATCATATCAGGGATGTTCCGTAGTATGGATGGTGGGTGATTGGACATGGCGTTGACGTAGAGAGGTGCGTCTCCAGGTTTACGATACGGCTGGAATTTCCCGGTGTCGAGGCTGAGCGTGACGTCTAGGAAATTCACTGTCGAAAGATTAACGTCGATAGTGATTTTTAGATCATACTGCTTGAATACTTCGATAATGGACTTCCTCGTGCGGTCGGCAACTGGATTTTTCTTGATGTTCATATCACCTGATGAGTGCCTGAGATGGCATGAAACTTTAAGTTGTGACTGATCAAGCCATCTGTTGTTCTGACTAGTGTGTCACGGCTCTACCTTCCCGGTATCGAGCTCTCTTGGATTTCTGCTGGAATTCACAACAGTGTGTTATTATACATACATGTATGTTAGGCCATGGTAAAAATTATCTTTGATTCTCAAGTACGCGCGCACCGATTTTTGGCGGCGCACCGACGATTTTTTTTATTTCTATGTATGCATATGCGCACATGAAAACGGTCAATGCGAAAAGCATGAATCAGGCAGTAGTAAAATACCGGTATTTTTCTACTCCCTGGCCTGAATAATAAAATAATTTTATGAACCTGTGACGTACATATGTGTGACCCTATCTTTGGAGATAACAAAATTGTGGGAAA